ATCCTTACAACTGGACCTATAAGCAGCATCATGATAAGTGAGAAAAGATTGAAGTTGTCAAAGACTTCACATTGTTTGGCTCTACATTGATGCCGATGGAAGCAGCAATTAGGACATTAGACGACATATAGCACTGGGCAAGTTGGCTGCAAGGGACCTCTTTCAAGTGGTAAGGAGCAAGGATGTCTCCTTGAACTAAGGTGTGCCTGACACAAGCCATGATATTTTCAATCGCCTCGTGTGCATGTGAGGGCTGAACAATGAATAAGGAAGCCCGAAGAAGAATTAATGCTTTTGAGTTGTGGTGCTGGCGAAGAATGTTGAAAGTACCGTGGATTGCTAAAAGAACTAACATTTGTCCTGGAGGAAGTGTAGCTGGAATCCTCCTTGGAAGCGAGAGTGGCTAGGTTTCATTTCCCATACTTTGGTCATGCTGTCAGAAGGGACAATTCCCTGGAGAAGGATGTCATGTTTGGTAAGGTGGAGGGTTGACGACAGAGGGGAAGGCCCTCAATGACATGGATTGACACAGTGGCTGTGACGATGGGCTCAAGTAAAGCAAGAATCATGGAGCTGGCGTGGGACTGGGGGGTGTTTCGTTCTGCTGTGCATAGGGTTGCTATGAGTCAGACACGACTCAATGGCACGTAACAACAACATGATTATAAAAGGGAGTCCGCAGGTGGTGCAAATGGTTAAGTGCTGGAATACTTGCTGAAAAGTTGGCAGTTTGAACTCACCAAGAGGTGCCTTCTGAAAGGTCACAGCCTTGAATACTCTATGGAGCAGTTCTACTCTGCACACATGGGTCACCATGAGTCAGAACTGTCTTGATGGCAACTAACAACAACAAATGATTTTAAAACACTAAAAATATATTGTGTACTGTATAAGTATTCCCAAATGCTAGCTATCACTGTTGTTATTAGTGTATGTGCTCAGTACAAATTTGCTGGATTGAATAAAATATGTTCCAGGCTATGTCAAGCAATAAGGATTTTTTTTTTTTTTCCCCTGAATCTTCCCTGTTAGAATGCCATCAAATCTGCCTCTTCTACTCTCTCTCCCCTCTCTCTTTCTCCCAAATACACAATTGTAAAATCTGCCTCAAACTTGTTATGCATTATTCACTGACAATCTGTATTTTTCACAGTGAAAAAGCCTGTGTCAGTTTATCTTTTAAAGCTGCTCCTTGCTGAATCCACATATGTCCATTAATGGTGACTTTGGAGGAACAGCATTTGTGGAGGCCCATCTCAAACAATCCTCATTTAATGTAGGCTGTGACTTCCCAAGGCTTCTGCTCATTAGTAGCTACTTCTTATTTTTTCCTGTAGCTCATACAGAAGATGAAATGGAAAAAGCTTTTCACAACTCTACTGAGGCAGCTGTGAAACTGAGCATCCGAGCCTGGTCCACAAGAAGGAAGAGGAGCTTGGCAGGGGTAGCAAAGAGGAGAAACAGGTACCATGCTTTTTAGATTCCAAGATGTACTTCTTCATTGTACACTTTACTGTTTCTGAATTGGAATGTGTCTTATAATCCTTGTATACAGTTAGAGCAGTATGTCTTGTTTTTCCCCCACCTGAGAAGCTGTTATTAAATTGCTGGTAGAAACCAAGGAAATGTAGCACTTGTGAATTAAAAAAAAAAAAAAAAAAAAAAAAAAAAAAAAAACCTGCCAAAATATAAGAAAGCTTGTACCAACCTTTGAGAAAAATACTCAAAGCCAGCTGAAAAGCATGTAGTAGATGGATAGGACAATTCTTAACCACAGGCAAGAATATAGGCCTGAAGGGCAAGTTGTCCAAATTGTCAGAGACCCTGCTGTCCACGGTCAGGCAGAATCCTGGCTGGCTCTGAAATGGCATCATCTCTTGAAGCATAAAGGTGCTCTGGTGGTGCTGTCGTTAAGACATTGGGCTGCTAACCAACAGGTTGGTGGTTCAAACCCACCAGTAGCTCCACAGGAGAAAGATGAGGCAGTTTGCTTCTATAAAGATTTACAATGTTGGAAGTTCTAAGGGGTTGTTGTGAGTCAGAATCCACTTGATGGCAGTGGGTTCTTGAAGCATAAATACCTGGGGTGTGTCCCCACCCACTGCAAAAGGGGCTTGGTAGGGAAGGAATTCTAGGACTGGGTTTCTCTTTCTTTGAGAACGAGTATTGTTTTTTCTTTTTTCTGTTAAACACATAAGACTACATATGGGAATAAAAATGGTTGTAAAAATATATGAACATTTATTTTCTAATGGCTAATGAAACCAAAACTCCAAACTCTCTACCACCAAGTGGATTCTAACCCATAACACACTGCCATCAGTCAGATCTGATTCATAGTGACCGCTCCTTGGATTCCCAAGGCAGTATCACCACGGAAGTGATACCTTCCTTCTGAGGAGTGGCTGGTGGGTTTGAACCGTCAGCCTTTTGGTTAGCAGTCAAATGCCTTATGAACTATTCCAGTGATCCCCATTGGATTTCCAAGGTTCTAAATCTTTATGGAAGCAGACTGCCTCTTCTTTCTTCCACAGAGTGGCTGGTACCTTCAAACCACTGACCTTTGGCCTTTTGGCCTTAACCAGTACACCACCAGAGCTCCTTATGGCTAATCAAGCTGCCTGTTAATTAATTATTTAACCCAACAAGTACTTACTGAGTACCAGGCCATGCTAGTCACTTTCATACATTGTCTAAAGACATCACCTGAGCAACCCTAAGAAGAAGCAGGTATTATAATTCAGCCCCATTTTCCAGATTCAGAAACTGAGGCTTGGAGAAGAGTGACTCCACTCAATTCATATAGGTCGGAATTGGCATAGCAAGCACAGGGGTCCAGGTCAGTCAATCCCAGAGCTTGTGCTCTTTGCACTGCTCCACACATTTAACATGGCTTCAACATGTGTTTTTTTCCTCCAGAGAAAAAAACCAAAGGCCAGAGTAGGGATTTGCCCCAAGTCACATGATGATGTGGTGACCCAGGTAGGACTAGAATGTTGGCATTCTGATGCCCATTCCAAAGCTCTTTTTACTACTTTGTGTCAAAGCTGTTAGGAGTACATCAAGCCATCCAGAGGGCTGGAAAAAATCAGGCAAGGCTTACCCAAGCGATGGCTTCTTCTCTTTGTGCTTATTAAGGCTAATAAACCTGCAAGTCCCACCCTGGGTCACCATACCTGATGAAAACAACTGAGGCAGAAGATTCATAGCAATATTTCATTGTTGTTATTCAACGGACAGATCAACCCACATCAACTCCCACAGGGATTATTCGATGGACACAGAGAAGAAGGGTCTTTTTTCTATGGAATCTTAGCAGAAGCACAACTTGTTCTTATCTGTGCTGCAGGAAGGACTTATACATGCCAAAATTCCTTTCATAATTACAGGTATAATTATTCTTGTCCTTTGTCTTCACCTGCACCAGGATGAGACTAAGTCTTTAATCTGAAAGCCATTAGAATGGCAGAACATTGAGGTCACCTGGATTAGCAGCTAATAGATTCTCTACTCTTTATTCTGATGAAAATGGAATGGGACAATGAGATATTACTCAGAAGCTTCTGGGAGAGAATTTACAGGACTCAGGCTGGTATGTACTCGTAAATCAGGAGGAAATACAGAGAGAAACCAATCATAACACTTTCCGATTCTTGGGTGCTCCAGAAGCATCTGTTTCTTTCTTTTAATTTTTATTGTGATTTGGGTGAAAGTTTACAGAGCAAATTCATTTCCCATACAGCAGTTCACATACACTTTATCTCATGATGTTGACTGTAATTCCCCACAATGCTACTGCTCTCTTCCCACTTCCTCCCCATAGTTACCTCTTCCCTGTGTCCTTCCCTCCCATGCACTCCTGCCCCCTGAGTGGTCTGCCTGTGCATACACAGCTCTTCTATTCTCCCATGATTGATCTCTCCAAGGAATGTATCTACCTAATGTAAATGTTAGGAGCTCTGGTAGTGTAGTGCCTAAGACACTTGACTGCTAACCAGAAGGCTGGCAGTTCAAACCCACCAGCCACTCCTCGGAAGGAAGGTTGGGCAATCTACTTCCGTAGTGATACTGCCTTGGAAACCCAAGGAGGGGTCACTATGAGTCAGGTCCGACTCGACGGCACATAACAACAACAATGTAAATGTTCAACTCACATGCCTGTCTTTTGTTTGGCTGGAAGCCACAGGTGTGGGTTCAATTCCAGACCTGTAGGGCAACTAGGGGACATAGTCTCAGTGGTTCCACCAGGGTTTATCAGACCAGCAAACCTGGTCCCCCCACCCATTTTTTTTAAAACAATTTTGAGTTTTGTTCCATATTGTTCTCCCACTCTATTCAGGATCTCCTACATAGATCCCCCTGTGAGTGGTTAATAGTGGTAGCTGGGCACCATCTAGTTCTTCTGGTCTCATAGTCATATAGCCTGAGGACCGCATGGTGCACCAGTCCCTTGGACTAATTATTTCCATGCGTCACTGGTTTTCTTCATTCTTCTTTGCCCTGGATGAGGAGAGACCTATTGTTGCATCTAGATGGCTCTTGTAAGCTTTTAAGATCCCAGTGTCTACTTGCCAAAGTAGGATGTGGAACAATGTTTTTGTGTAGTATGTTATGCCAATTGAGCTTGATGTTCCCTGTGACCATGGTCCTGAGCCTACAGGTCCCAACTACTTGCTCCCTCTGGGTAACTGGCTGTGGCCAAGAAGTGACCACAACCTTGTCCCTTGTCAGCTCTACTATATACCTGTAAATTCTTACAGAACACACAAATGCACTTGTAGAAACATTGTCTGCCAACCCTATACATGGTCATGGCCATACTTCCCTCTGCATAGATATACCTAATCATTCACCCTGTCCACCCATCTATCCACCTGTATATCAATGTTGCCATTACTGACAACATAGTACTGTATGAAGCATCTGTTTCTTGTGTCATCTTCCTCCAGGGATCTCCCCACATTTCTTTCTCAAAGTCTCCAGGTCCCCAGCTGGCTTACCTTGCAACAGTGTATAGAAGGCACCTGAGGCAGATAAATTGGTGGTTATGGTGATATCATCCTTGCTGGAGGTCTCTACCTGGACATGCACTGAGCTGTCTGTATCACTTCGGAAACTGCTCACCTGGCCAGTGGGGAAGGTCACATTTGTCAGGCGGCCAAAGCTGTCATACCTGAAAACCAAGGAGTGGCACTGAGTAACAGAAACAAAATGGTGCCATAGTTGGAAACTGGCACATTCTACCTCACCCTAGTTTCTGCACATTCTGTTTTTCTTTCTGGTTAGATATACTTCCATGTCTCATATATCTCCTGTGTGGGGCTTCACACACAGTTTTCAAGATACAATACCATGGGCTGACAGATGATTTACCTCTTGAATCTTCCTTCCCTAATCCATAAAATGGTGATAGTAACCCTCACCCTGCCTACTTCCCAGGATTTCTGTGAGAAAGACATGTGCCTTGTACCTGGAAAATAATATACACTCATGAAGGGCTGAGATGATGGCCATGATAAGACTACTCACACAGAATCTCAGAGCTGGGAATTTATCAGAGGTGATCTAGTCCAATGTAATGCCTGAATACCCTCTGCAAAACCTTCAAGAAATGGTTATACAGGGCTTTTCTGAGTAACACTAGAGATGGAGACACCATTACCCAGGAGTTTCCTATGCTGCAACAGATCATGGGGAAAAGGGACTCAGAATCCAAAACAGGACTCTGCTGTTCCATAAGCAGTTTACTATGATGCAAATGGCATTCTCTTCGCATTTCAGGCTTGCAACCTCTTCCTGTCCAGGACTTCACATCCAGCTGTATCTGCAACTCTCAGAACCTACAGCTTTGCTTCAATGTGGTCTGTCTGAAGCATAATAATTGAATGTTAATTCTCTTCCTCTTTCTCCTGATAGTAATAAATACCCACTGTGAGACCTCCTCCCCTCCAGGTAATTATTCTTTAACCAGGAGCCATTAGTGCCGGGGACTCCAACACGTTCCCTACGCCTCAGGGCTTTACCTCACAGAGTCCTAAGACCCCCTCCCTTCCTTTTCTACCCCCTAGTAACAACCAATCAGTAAATATCACAAAAACTTGAAATTCCTAGAAATGGCAGTTTGCGGCCTTGGCCACAGGACAGAACCAATCAACTAGAGACAACGCACGATTTGAAAAATGACAACCAATCCTGTAATTTTCTGATTGAAACTCCCCCGTACCTACTCCATCCCTGATAAAAGACCCCCTTTCCCTTTGTTCAAGACTCTCAATCCTGAACCGCTGCGTGGGTGACAGTTGAGGGTCCGAGCTTGAGCTTGAATAAACTTTCCCTTTACTTTTGCATCGTCGAGTCTGTGGCACCTTTTCTGCGTCGACACTCCCTTCTATAGCTGGGACCAACACCCACCATTATTGAACACCTACCATGTACCATGCACGGTTCTAGTTGTTTTCATTCATTTGCTCATTAATCCTCACAGCTAGTCTAAGTGTTATGTATTGCCTACCTTTCACCCAAGAGGATACTGGGGCTGAGAAAAGTGAAGTCACCTTCTCAAGGTCCCAGAGCTAATAAGTGGGGTAGAGTCAAAACTCAGCTTTGTTTCTAAGCCACTACCTGGAACTCTGTCTTCAACAAACATTTCTGTACTGGCCATTTGCAAGTATCCACAGCATGCTGCAGATATGGCTGGAAGATGCCAGTGAGTGGGCTATTAACATTTGAATTATTTTTAATTAGGGACAGCTGAAGTGTAACAAGGCAGGTCTATATAGCCTTTTTGCACTTGTGTGTAAATGGGGGGAAAATCTCTTTATTCAGATGTCAATATTTCTGTTTCCTGCTTCTGCTCCTGGTTGCAGCATGGGTTCAGCTGTGTATGTTTCCCTCATGTATTTTGGTCTCCCTACTGGACTCTTCTTATTGCTCTTTAGGGGTGAGGCTGGGCCCTGGGTCCCAGAGGGTTTTAAACAAGGTGAAATGAAAGGTCAGATAGTTCAACTCCATCCTCCTTCTTCCTGTAATTCCTTCAGCTGGGCCCTTGCTTCCTGCTGGGTCTCTGGGTCTGCAGCTATTTTGTTTTCAGGTGAAGTTTGGTAGGTGAGACTAGATAGGGCTTCAGTGAGCAATTTGAAGATTGGTTCTGGCACAGATACTACCATTTGCCAACTCTTTACTTATGCCTGGTACGATCCCCATGGCACTCTTTACACTGAGTAATAACAGTCCTCAGCAAAGCCTGACAAAGAACAGGCATTGGTGAAGGTCTTCTGAATGAATCACCTCAGGCCTTGGACCAAGAAAGTTCTAGAGGAAGAGCCAAGGAGTTTGGGGAAAACTGATTCTGTTGTTAAGGCCCGAGGAAGGGGAATGAGAGCCCTTTCCAGAATAACAGGCAGTGGTCTCTACCACACAGTCCCAGGCCATGACTTGGGGGCAAGGCTATTGGGCTGTATTAGCTCTTTGGGTTCTTCCATAGGCACTTAAAGGATCTTGGAAACCTATTTCCTGTCATGAATCCTTGCTTTTTTCCCCTTAATATTTACATTCTTCTAGGAAAAGGTCAGTCTGGTAGCTTAGGGAAGGGAGAAGGTATGGGTTTACACCCGGCTTGGGTCTGAAGGGGGCAGCATGGGCCCTTGCAGCAGGGTGAGGGAGTAATTCTGAGAATGCTCCCAGGAAGGAGGGACAAGTCTTGGGATAAAGATCCTGAGACTCTGTCTCTGAGCTCTGCTCCCTTCAACCCTAAGAAAGGCTGGCATTCTTTTTAACCCTTTATGGCTGCCAGGAATTTGAACAGAAAAGAAATTCCTTACAATGTTTATAGTAGTTATCTCTAAGAGGTAGAACTCCTGGTGATTTGAGCTGTGATTCATATATATTTTATAGTTTCAAGATTTTCTATAATTAAAGTGGATTGTTTTCATAATCAGAAAAGTGCTGTGACAACCCAAGTAATGTCACATATAGGGAGCTCAGGAACATGTCCATTCTGGGGGAAGAGGACCCTTTACATTACTGGCATTCGTAGGAGAGGCTAACTGACAGGACAAGCTACCAATAGCAAATTCTAGGCCTTTTTAGTAAAATAGGACTAGGGTATCCCTAATATATGAGCCAAGAATCAAGATCCCAGAAACTGGCTATGCCCTGGTCACCTTAGCTGTATCTGTCATTCATGATCACTCTGAGCCTTGGAAGAGGCTAAGTTGTCTTTTGAATCAATAGGACGATCCACTTCCACCCAGAAGTTTCCTGTGATGGGTATGCTGTTCGTGCTTGGTTAGCTTAGTACCTGTTATCCATGTACATACTTATTAATGAGACTATTTCCTCAGACTATCTAATTTCCTAATGCATTGAAATAAAAAAAAAAAAATATATTATCATGTAAGGCACTTAAAGAATTTTGGAGTCTTTCAGATAAGAATTGACAGATTATTAATTAGGGGTCAGATGTCACTTAAATACCACTCCTAGTAAGGCCTGACTCAGAAGCCATCTTATAAAGCCTGCCTTGGTCTCTCTGGCCCTTCCTCTCCCAGTGTTGCTCTCTGCACAGCTCTAGCATGAAGTGCCTTCCCTTGCATTGTAATAACTGATTTGCACATTGTCCCCATCTTCAGATTGTGAGCTGCTGAAGGTTAGGGACAGGTCTTTGGAACTTGACAGCCAGACTGTGCATCTGGATTCACACCACTTGGATTCTGCCACCTGCCAGTGAGGTGACCTGAAGGACTAGCACTCAGTCCATCTCTGCATCCCCAGCACAGAGAGAAAAGTAGGAAATGCTGGCAGAACAAATAAATGAATGAATGTAGGACTGGAGTCCAAAACCTGCCTCTTTGCTGCTCTGTAGAAGAGGCAGTGATTCAGGACTTAACAGAGGCTTGTCACATAGTAGGTGCTATGATAAACACTGTGCACTAGATACACTAAAATGGAAACCACTGCTTCCACCAGATGATACTTTAGCAATGTCCATAGGCGTCTCCCCAGAGTTTTCATCTCCTTGACAGAAAGGGTTTGTATAAATGCAGACAATTGTAATTACTATTGAAGGTAGCCTGTAATACATAATTAAATTGAGCCTGGAGAAGATACAATGAAAAGGCTCCATGCCTTCAAGATCTGGTTTTCATTTTATAAGAGATGGCCCCAAAACAGTAATTTCCACTCTTCACATTTTCCATTAGAAGGACTGCATGTCTTAATTAAATGAACATCAAATAGAACAGTCAATTTATAAAATTTTCTTCTCTCCAATTTATTCATTTCAGTGCCTTCCAGAACTTGAGAAATGCCACTGGATCTATCTGTTGCTTGATCAATACCTGTGATTATCCCATTAGAAACTTGGCTCCTTCTGACTTTGCATGGTGAAAATTAGAGCTGCCCATCCACCGGACCTTGAATGCTTTTGCCCTGTGGGGCCCTCTGCAGAATTCTCTGTCCTCTTGCTACAGAGCTACAAAGAGAAAGGAGGCTGGCACTGTCCCCTACAAGGTATGGACCAGATGTGTGAGTTCTACTTACTATCTGAACCCCAGGTGAATACCTCAAATCCTTGCCCCACTATTGGGGGAACTCTGGTGGTACAATGCCTAAGGCATTTGACTGCTAACCAGAAGGCTGGCGGTTCAAACCCACCAGCCACTCCTCAGAAGGAAGATTTGGGCAATCTACTTCTATAGAGATGCCCTCTCGGAAACCCAAGGAGGGATTGCTATGAGTCACGATCGACTTGGTGACAGTGAGTTTAGTTAGTTTTTTTTTTTTTTTCTTGGACAATGGTTTAATTATGTCTTCCATGGTTTTACTTAGGTAGGGGAAGCCGTGAAGCACTGGCAGTTTTCTTTTTTGCTAACCAAGAAGAATGGAAGGAACGTTTTGGTGTGAGGAGGTCTTTGGAGTTAGTCTAGTCTTTGAATCTGGGCCCTACCACTTGGCAGCAATGCAACCCTGGAGGATGGGCACTCTGTTTTGTTTTCCTCCAACTACTCTTGCATTAAGCCTCCATCAGAAATGATTTTATTTCAGAAACGTTACATAGAAAATCTCTGTAAGCCTCTGTTTGTTTTTCTTTCTATAAAATAAAGACAGTAATACCTATTTCACAGAGACATTGTGAAGATCAAATAAGGTCGGTAACATGTCTAAAATGAAATC